GCTCCCGTGTCGATAAGGAATTTCAGTGGGGGATCGTTTATTTGAATATAGCCAAGCTGCCTCTGTATATGGAAATTAACCTCTATTTTAGTGTGTGTTTCACATTTTGTGAAAATTTTCCTCCTCGGATGAAGGAGGTTTCTGGACTACCTCTTCAGTTACGGGATTCTCAGACCATTGTTCATAGGTGTTATTATAATCGGAATACTGCTCACAATTATTGTAGTCAGTATGACAGTAATCAATGTGGCCATAGTCATAGTCGTAATATTGATTATAATCACAGTCAATCTCATTAAAATTTACTTCATGTGTTTTGAAGTAGTTGCTAGGAGGCGGGTTTCCAAATTTTCGCCAGTCGTGTCCCGCTGGGGGCAACGCCTTCGGAACAAAATGGCTAACGCCGCTCATTGGACGCGGAGCTCCGAATCTATAAGTTTCTTGCTGTTGATATCTATTATGCATCCTAAAAACGTTGCTCTGCGGGTTGTAATTTGGTGGAGGCGCCCGGAACATTTGCTGAGTACGAGTTGGGCCACGGGGAGGCAGATTATGTTGCCAATTTGGCTGCCATGCATGATTAAGTTGAGATTGCATGAATTGCGGCTTGGACGGGCCAGTTGTATTCATTATTGGCTGTTTGGATGGGCCAGGCATGTTGAAGATAGGCATTTTTTGACTGAAGTTATTTAGAGGCAAATTAAAATTATTTTGAGAAGTCTGAGGTGGATGTTCTTTTCTACTAGGTCCTTCATTACACTGTTGTATATAAAGTGTGTTAAGTTCCTCCTGCACAAACGCTAAAGCCTGTTCTACGGTCGCGGGGCGCATGCATCTAACCCTACACCCTAACGGGTCCTTCAAACCGCGTAGATATGCCTGTAAAGTCAGTTTTTTTATAAAGGGTGCGCTTAGCTTCAATTGTAGTATCTACGCTTTCGTGGAGGCTGACATATGTCATTATGGTACTGTATAAATTTTGGCACCGTTCATAGAACTCCTGTGGGCTGTTCGACCCTTGGGTCTGCATATAGTGCAGCTTCGTCGCGATGGTCAGCGAAATTATTTATTAAAGCATTTCGTATACCATTCCAAGTTTCCGGAAGCCCACTAGAATTAATGAGTCTTGACGCAGGGCCCGTGATTTTATTCAATATGCCATTAATAATGGCAAAATTTGTTAATTCATTCTTTGGAGTCGTTTTAAAATGCGCGATAACCAGTTGGTCGCATATGTTTATGAATCGTGTTAAAACGTGAGGATTGCCATCAAATTCGGGCACTAGCCTCAAGGATTTAAAGATAATGTCTAGATCGTCAGCCATCACCAATTTTTCGGTTTCCCAGTTATCTACGGATATACGTCTATTCGCGTCCACCCAACTATTCCTATTATTTCTTAAACAACTATTTCGTGAAGCCTTCGGGTGAAAAATATTGAAAATTTACGTTAACACTACTAAAAAAAAATGTCTACACAAATACTTATAGATACGGAATAAAATAAGAGTAAAGGAAAGAACACTAGGAAATAAAGGAAGCAAGAACTTGAAAGATTCAAGGTACTTACAACATAATATCTGGTATCTTTTTCTGGTTGAATCGATGTCTGGATTCTCTTCTGCTGCAACCCGTTGTAGGTTCGAGTACCCGGAACGCGACTTGATAGCCGCTCGGGCGGCTTAGGGGTATAAAAGTGCGATAATTTTACTCTAAATACCTTATACCGACCCGTGGGTATCCTACCGACTGCGCCAATTTTAAAATTAAAAAAGGTTTTGCAGCGGAAGATCAAAAAAAATCATTTTTATTTAATAAAGTATAATTAAAATTACAATACAATACAAATATGAGACTCGACCGATGGTAGGTACAAGAATGAATTTTATTAATTTTAAAATAGCCACGATGAGGTGATTGTTCATTGTGATTGGTTGGTTTCTCGAATCTCGAAAGACCCATACGCTCGATTGCTGCTTTGTTTTGGGATCGTAACTATAAATCCATGTTTCGTCACCTGTTACTATGTCCCATACCTAATTTGACGCCCCTTCGTTGAATCTGGTAAGAATGGCATTACACCAAGCGACGCGATCCGTTTTTGGAGCCTCTGTCAAATTGTATACAGCTGAGAACACAGCTTTTTCACACACAAATGTTTGTGTAATATTGATTGTACTTGACTCATGCCTATGCTTAAGGATGCCCGAATCTCATGGTAAGTCACATGCCTGTCTGTTTTGATCATACGGCTCACAGCATCGAGTTTATGTTGTTCACAGCAGTGGACGGGCGACCATCACGAAATTCGTCACTGAGATTCACACGACCGTGTTTGAATTCTGCAAAAAGCTATAAGTAGTCATATTGCATGGCAGTATGAAGCCGAGGGACGTTCCGCTGAGCTGTTACATTACATTTAAAGTCGTAGAAAATCATACTACGAAAATTTTCACGAGTTTATCCATGGTGACGTGACAACCAATTTCTAAAATGACGCCACAATGAGAAAACTGTCACTTGACAGTAAGATGAAACAAACTGTATTCTACAGCCAAAGAGTTCCATTTTCAAATATTGTAATTACTTTTTAAATATTGTTTATTTAAGTGACCAGTTCCGGAAACTTATAGTGCGCCCTATGTATCATGAAAACCTAAGAATTCTCTAACGTCTGGTTTATGTAAAAAATAAGTAATTACATCATTTTATAATAGTTAATAGTAAAAACATAGAGAATTGCACAATTTCCCTTTTTTATAAATTAAGTGACGGACCAACAGCCTGGGCGCCTGGTGGTAAGCTGTACTTAACAGTAACAGTACCATTCAGAGCTTTAAATTGCAAATATCTTATGGGCACTGCCACTGCGCCCGTGACCCTGGGACATACGTTGACATGTCCCATGTGCCTGTAATTTTCACCAGTACTCTAAGCGCCCAGGTACACGAGGAGAAAGTTTTCGCGGGGCCGCTCAGTTATCACGCCTTCACGCATATGAATGGCGAATCTGAATTCTATTTACTAGGCAACAAGATTTAAATTACTCTGAATAATACAACCGCGCGGTTGCGAGACCGAGGTTGGTAGACCAAAATTCAATCCAGACTCGCCCGCGTGGCCGGGACGCTCATTTAAGTTAAAACGTAATGGCTAAACAAATAGAGCGTATTTTGCCATGACTGTAAAACGCACGCGGTTGCTGCGCGGCGGCAACGCGGACTCCGCGCGGTCGCAGTAATGTGAGCATTACTGCTTGGCGGCAGAAATAGGTAAGATGGCACTATTTTTCCCTGGACGAACTCTTTGAAAGGAGCTCTACTGCTACCAATGCTTTTATCAAGGTGTGGTAAATATCGAGAAAAATAAATGTTTCTGTGTTTGAAGACTTTTTACTTTGAAAATGTTAATATTATTGTAATTGACATAGTTTTAGTACATAATTGACAATATGGGCTAGCGAGTAGAGTATTTTGTAGCGCTATCTGTATTCTGCACAAAGCCTGACATCCTAAATTCCTTGGTTAGTACGAAATTCAAAGTAGTACATTTCCTTACCTAGTTCGTTTATTTTATGGTCGAACATTAAACAGACTATATTTCGTGCATGAACGAGCAAGATTTTACTTAACGTACGTACATAATTAAGTTTAAGTTCGTACTTGAATTCGACGCTAACATATCTAAAGACATTTTTTATTTACATGAAATCATGTATGATACCTATGTATATTGTATAAGTAATTCATAAGTATGTTTTATGTTTCAGTTTACTTTGACTGTCATACCTATGTTATATTATATGTATTTGTTATGAACTCATGGATATCGTGAACATTCAGATTTTGTTCTATTGATATTATTTATTTGTAATTATTCTAAGTAGGTACGTAACTATCATTGTCATCACCATATTAATCCATTATACGTTCTACGACATGGCACGGGTTTACTATGAGGATTTAAGTTGGGTTTTCACTATACGAGTAGGTAGGTAGTCACTCGGATGACTACTTGGTTACCACTCGTGAAAACCCGGCTTTGGGCTTAGATAATATAGTAACAGTCTGCCACACTGGCCAGAAAACGGATTGGTGACTTTTCACGTTTTCAAAGTGCTATGAATCTTCTTCGATACGCAGGTTTCCTCACAATTTCCTTCACCGGTAGCGAGATATTAATAATTATAATTTATTGTTCCAAACCTACGCCTTAAACTACGTGACTTACGTGATTGATAAAAGTAAGCACTAAACACTAGGTACCTATTACACAGGGCTTGGGAAATTGCTGTTGCTGCCAAATATCAACAAATGTGCGTAACGTACAAATTAAAATCATAAGTACTACATACCGCTACATGGATTCTAATTGTCGCCCTTATAGGTAAATGGTAAATACCTATTATCAATGTTAGTATTTAATTATTTATCTGCTTATGATAATATTGTAAATGAACAGGCGTGTAGCTTAACACCAGGCGCAAGACTTGTTCGTCCTGTCACTAGTATCATAAAAAAATTGCTGCTAAGTTATTTTTTTTCAATATTGTCGAAACAAAAAACAATTTATAACAAAGTGGAAAAACAAGAGTGCGGAGTGTAGAGAGATTACAGATTTTTATGTAAAACCTTTACGAGCAACCAAAAAAGAAACGCTGTAGTGGTGGTAAACAATCCAGTTTGTGGTCGTGGTCAAGGTCACAGCACGCACTAATATTCAAGTAAGTCCTAATGTATTAAATGAATGTATATCAACGCAATTCCAACGTTCACTGTTTTGAAGTACGTAAGTGGGCGCCCTGCCCTCTAGTGTATGATGGGTAAAGCTACTTTGCTGTAGACGCGCGTTGTTGCCGTATTTTGACGACGGAGGACTACGAAAACTTTCATGTTGCCTTTCACCAGGCTTGTAGCTCCGTCTCTCTCGTGCAATAGTAGCACGCCATGTCGGCCACAGTGGATTGGCTCGTTGGCGGCGTTGTAAACCAGCCTTGTGTCGACCGTTGCTCGTGTGTGACGTATGTTGCTCATGCAGCTGAATTCCGCGTTAAAGTTTACACTTGAGGATTTGAAAATGAGATAAAGAAAAGTTTTCAAAAGTGTATCTAGTGCCATAACGTGGATGTTTGATGACTTCAAAACAACTGTGCCAGTTTTAGTGTAGTAGTATCATTACAATTGTGTTAAGAATGTTCAACAGTTGAGTCAAGCATTAATTGTAAAATTTTGTGTTGCAAAATGGGAGTGTAGAATATTTTGTTTGACAGTGTGAATAGTAGAAAGTTTTCGCAGCGCCGCCATGGGGACAAACTGGTTGCTTTCTCCGTTTACTTTGGTGCTGCTGATTTGTACAGGTAAGCGGAGCTACCTACTTATTTTCTGTCTGCTAAGCCAACCTTACCTCGCCGCTCGGAGCGCGACGCGGATCAACAACTTGGCCCCATGTTTGTGTGCAATGTGTAAGCAGCTGTAAGCATGTGTGTGTGTTACCTTTGTAGGCTGTGTCTTGTTCCAAAAAAATGTTGCCTACCTGTGTGACACCGTCCACGCTCAGCATCTTACTTTACGTACCTACTGATTATTGTAGAGTAAAATATAATATATACAATATGTATAGATTTAAAAATATTATACTTTTGTCCCTGTCGTTTTTTAACAATACTTAAGGAAATAAAAGTGAATGTCTAGTTCGTCAATAAGACTTGCTCAACATGATGCCTATTCTATAATAATAGATTCTATAATATTAATAGCCACGTCAGGTGTAATTATCGGTTTGGTAGTACCATTATCAATTGTAATTTGGAAGGTATACTATTACTTATTTCATAATTAAGTATGCCGTTTCAGGTTTGTTTTTTGTGTAAATTATTTGACTTGGTAATCGTCACAGTTTACCATTTATTAGATGGTGTCATATAAAATTAACCTGACCAAGTGTAAACTTTCGGGATCCGTGCACCAATACTCAAGTTAACAAACACACTGGGAAATTTACATTGTATTTATACTGGAAATTATTTATAAACATTCATCGCTCACTGTCAATATCAACATTACTGACTTGAGCCCACATACTTATAGTAAACAGTTATAACAAGTGATCATAATAATTTAATATATTTGGTTATTTATTATAAGCACATACAACATTCTTTAGTCTGCCTCTACCATACCTTTACACTGACAGATTTCGTTACTGACCGAGTAAAATATCTAACAATTTTGTATGGCAAATTTAATAATCTTAGTACACGATACAAAAACACCAACGGCGACGTCAAAAGTTGGTGGAATTACATCTATTTGCCAAGTTCTATTGAAATCGGTTACCGGAAAGTGCGCGAAACCGGATTCATCCCTTAGAAGTAGAAAATTTTCTTCAAATTTTAGTGGGACCACTACTGAGGTACCTTCTTTTTAACAAGAAAAGAATTATCAAAATCGGTTCACAAAAGTCGAAGTTATCGTGTAACATACGTAAAAAAACATACAGTCGGATTGAGAACCTCCTCCTTTTTTTGAAGTCGCTTAAAAAACAATTGTATAAATATATTTTACGAGGTCGGGTGCGGGTGTGACAACTGCCACCGTAACCTCAAAAAGGCACCGTAGTTATTGATCCTTGGTAATTAAGCTTTTTGAATATATTACTGAAACTACCTTTATTCTATCTATAGTGTACGTACATGTCAATCATTATTTAAATTAATAATATTGATAATAACGCACGCACTCAACATAGCCCCGCATTGGGGAAACCCTGTGTCGCGTGAGCCATGGACACACACATGGACAATCACAAATTATGCAAACGCACGAGATAAATAAGTGTAGGCCTTATAAATATTTCTACCAGCCCGGGAATCGAACTTGAGACCTCTGCGTGGCAGTCCGGCATGATAACCGTTCGGCCCGAAGGTAGATTGAATTCGCAACTTGACGGAAGTGATCGGAATTGTAGAAAATTACATTTATGCTTGTTAAGCACATGTGAGTGACACACAACATAACATCACGAATGCTTAGAATGCAACTAGGTATTTGTAGACTTAGTTTTTACGGCGGCAAATCAAAAAGACGCTCTGAATCTATTTCAGAAATGGAATAAAAATATTGCAAAATTATTGATTAACCTGTTTCAATTACATTTTTTTTCTTTTTTTTATTAATAAACGTTAGGTATTTAAGATTTACAAAGGTAATACTTAACGATTTTGTATTCACCACTACATAAAACAATATTTTATTCAAGTAAACTACCTACCTACCGTACCTAGCGTACCTACCACGCTAGTCTTCACTATAGGCTTTCACAAAAGGTAAATTTGCAGGAATATATGCACGTTTGTGACGAGAATCCAAACCACGAAGTCAGGGTATTCTTAACATAAAAGCAAAGTTTTAATTGAGCGCAGAAACACTAATTAATCCTTAATAAGAGTTATTCTGTTCGGCTCTGGTTCACTTGCCTTTAAATACGCCTTTTGTTAGCCTTTATCAATTTTACTTACGTTAAGTCAAGTACCTTGTTTGCTACATTGGGCCCCGAGGGGCTATGCGGGGCGAGTTATAGCTTGTGTCATTGAATAATAATTTAGTGTCGTTTTAAATTATTATTCCATGAAACATGTAATGGTATTACCATATAACGAAGGTTACTATTATATACTAAATTAAATTGGAGAACGATTAAATTACTAACATTCAATGAGTGGATCCTTTGGCGTTGACAGAAAGTCAGAAAGCTAAATCAAACTCCCGACGACGATGATTGCTTACAGAATCGTTATAAACTACGTTCTTAGTACCTAGTAAAAACTGGAAATCATTATGGCGATAACTTTTTAATCGGCTTTTTACGTTGTAGAGTTGGAGTGGCGAGTAAATTAGGCAGCGAAAGAGGGGGGTGAGGCGAGAGAGTGAAATCATGTTTATCGAAACCGGTTCACGATGCAGGTGCGCGGCCGAACGCGGGCCATCTCTCTCGAAATCACAGTTGCTATCTATCCATCCACACATATTTTACTACTTTTTATACACACGCCTTTGAAGAGAATTACAGCTATTAACCCGCTTTTTACTTGAATACTTTTCTGTACCTACTTTTAGAAACGTGTTTCACATGTAACAAGAAATTATAATAAGCTAGAAACGTTATATGTAACGAAGATGTTAAGTTGCTACAGTGTCTAGAGTTTTCTGAGCTACGTTTGCGTATTTAAATATAATTTTAATTAAAAATAATAAATTGTCCGAGTAATGAAAGGGTTGACCACGATCTTTGTTTTACTTACTAACTAAAGTCAAGTTGAAAATAAATTGGATCTGCTGTTTTACACAATTGTCTCGAACCCAGGCCTATAAATTTGCTAGGATAAAATTGAATTGTCCAATGGTTCCGTTCGGCTGTGCTTCAGTTCACATAGTTTTTGTAGAGAGAGCAAATATACGTAACAAAACCCCCAGATAATGTAATTTACATTGTTTCAAAGCCTACTTAATAAAAAATTGCAGAAGTAAAGACAATTTCAAAACTGGTTATTATAAAACAAAAGTGTTCTTTAATGACGTAACTTTTAATTGTCGCCGTGGTTAAAATTTTTTTTTTTTCAGAAAAAAGTACTACGTAGATATAAAGTTCACGTCGACAACAGTACGTGATTTACATTTTGCTGCAAAGAACATTTTTGGAGACAATACTACACGAAAGATCACCAATGATGAATACACTGTAAGTCTTGCGAGATTATCCTTGCGAGAGAGTCGCTCTGTTGTGTCGCCAAAGCGAGGCGAATGTTTGTGTACAGAATTGAATCATAAATTATTCGGAGCTCTCTTCACCTCAATGCGGATCTGGCGCATGGCGGGTATTTCAGCTAGTGCTCGTTTCTTTTTATCGCTGACGGACAAACGAGGGTTTCCTGCACAGAACTAACGTGACCACAGTGTATCCTCGTCCGTCACTTGTGGTGCGTGTAATGATGCCCGCAGTACGCTTATGACCTCTTTTTATGATTTTACGTGATATAAACAAACACCGCCTATGGTAATTTGTTAACGTACCCCTATGATGCGTTATGTAAGTTTTATTATTTCATTTTTACTTTGACTTTTATTCGAGAGTTTATTATGCCTCGTAGCACAGCCTTATTAAAATTTGTATCGAAATTACTTTCTTAATTATTACGCGGTTACAGTCATTAAGGGCATGTACCCTCAAATTTCTAGCGTGAAGTTTCATTTAGCAGTTGGTTTTGCAAAGACATTTTAATTTGTTCATTTATTAAAAAAGCCCAATGCACAATTACTTTTTTGTGCCGAATTAGAGTCGTAACATACATATACTTTACGCGTTTTTTCGATTGGGGTATGCAGAGACAAATATACCACCACCATTATACCACGGCTTTTCTTCATATTGCTTCACCCGTATTTGTATAAAAAGTTCAAAGACGCGATAATCTTGTAAAACGTTGTTCTTCAAAATTTGATCAAGTTCAAAGATAATTTTTCCAATAATTACTATCACGAATATCATCGTGTTTCAAAAATAAACCAGTAATAACCTCTTCACACCTCACATCGCCACGGCACACTATAGGTTTTGCGCTCAGCTATATTATAATTAATGATAATTACATCAGATTTTTTGCGTATAGTTACCACGAGCATTTTTATGATACTTTTACTTAATAGTATATACCATAATTATGTATATCTTCGAATATTCATCATTCATTATCTATTAAATTTTTTGTTTAGCGTTTTAAATATGGTTTGGCACAGAGTAAATTAATTTCCTATTTCAGGTAGTACTTCTTATTCGTAAAGGGCCTTGTTTAACTAATTGATTTGACATAATACAGGGAATGAACGTTATTAAGACACGTTTGTATTTCACGTTCATATTACGTCCAGGCAGAATCCTCCCCCGTTAAAGCATTAATTTGTGATATGCCAATATCACAAATACGGTATTGTGCATTGAATCAGTAGCATATCTCATTACCGAGTATGGCTACAACACTGCTTATAATAATAATAATGTACTTATTTCCAAGAGTTAGTTCACCACAAAGACATTAATTCTAGGATAAGGTTACAATATTACAAAATATGTTCCCTGACTCTCAAAGTAGGATAACCAGTGACATGAGAGCCAGTGTTCTTCCGTGTCCTAATTAAGAATCTTACTACAAAAAAAGTGACAATAATGTTTATTGTATTACATTGTAAACAGAGGGAAAAAAAGTGAAGTATAATAATGTATAAAAAAATAATAATAAATTAAAAGATCAATAAGAATAACTAAAACAATATGCAAATTAAACAAACAAAATAATAATAATAA